ACGAACCCGCGGGCTCAGGCAGTCCACTCACCTCGGCCTCCCAAGGCACGGGATTACAGGCTGAGCCACCGAGCCCGGCTTTAAAAAAAAATTATTATTAATTGTAGAGACGAGGTCTCTCCAAGTTGCTGGGTCTGGGGATGAACCAGCGGGCTCAGGCAATCCATTTGCCTCGACCTCCCAGAGTGCTGGGATTATAGGCTGAGCCACCGAGCTCAGCTGAGATTTATTTTGAATTGCTTTGAAGGACTTAGTTAAAATAGAATGTTACATGCTGAACAAAAATATCCTAACTATATAGCTTGGTCTCAGGTCTCCTAGGTCAAAGGGATCATAGATTTAGGCCACCCAACCACTAGAGGGCACTCAGATGTTCCCAATTAACTTGAAGAGATTTCCAGATCCTGCCTGCAAGTGAAGCCTTTTTTTTTGAGTCAGAGTCTCAGTTTGTCACCCAGGCTGCAATGGCATGGTCCCGGCCACGTCAGTCTGTACCTGCTGGCGATCCTTCCCTCTCAGTCTTCCAAGTAGCTGGAACCACAGGCATGTGCTACCACTCCTGGCTGAATTTTTTGATTTATTGTAGAGACGAGGTCTCACCAAGTTGCCCAGGCTGGTCTTGAACCCCTGGGCTCAGGCAATCCTCTCGCCTCAGCCTCCCAAAGTGGTGGTATTACAGGCATGAGCCACCATGCCCGGCTTGCAATTGAATCTTATCAACATAACATTTTTTTAATCAATAATAACAAGTACATGGGCATTTCCCCAGAAATCTGAAGTTGATGCAAACATACTGGTTCTGAGCATAGGAGTCTAACTACCATGTGTTATAATTAATAATTGTTATATTCTAAGCATATATTATGTATTTCAATATTTATTGTAATAAATGCTACTATCTTAGACTCAAGTCTGATGTGTTCTCAAAGTACTCCTTTCTTTATTGTTTTCAAGTGGTAGGCAGAGTTTGGAAGTAAAAAATTAACTTAAAAGATCAACTTAGCCGGGCTTGGTGGCTCAGCCTGTAATCCCGCACTTTGGGAGGCTGAGATGAGTGGACTGCCTGAGCCCACGGGTTCGTGACCTGCCTAGGCAACTTGACAAGACCTCCTCTCTACAATAAATCAAAAATCAGCCGGGCGTGGTAGTGCGCGCCTGTAGTTCCAACTACCGGGAAAGCTGAGGCGGAAGGATCGCCAGAGCCCAGCAGGTCGAGGCTGCGGTGGCCGGGAGCAGCCACTGCACTCCAGTCTGGGCGACAGAGTGAGACTCCGACTCAAAAAAAAAAAAAAAAAAGAAGTTAAATTAATATATAATAGTTGTTATCTACAATCACATAATAGTCCTCTCTGGGGGAAAAAAAGAATCTTAAGCACTGTCTTCTTTGTCAAGGGTGGTGGTGGGGGTTGATTCTGCAAAGCACTAGCCCCTCTGGCTGCCTTGTTACAGTTGCTGATGATATCCTGGATTCTGCAGAATCGCTGTCCTGCCCCATGACACTTACCTGATGAGGACCACAGTGGACTTGGCCAAGTACTGTGGAAAACAGTATTGAAAAAGGATACATCTAATTCACTCTGGAAGAAAGAGAAAGAGTGCAAGGGTGAGAATAAGACACTGGGACACGATGCTGTTACAGAGTTAGCCCTCCCTGGCCTCCAAGTAGGGGAGCAGGTAGGACAGGCTGCCACTGTCCTGGAGAGTGGGAGGCCGTGAGTCTGGGACTGTAATTAAAAAAAAAAAGGCTGGGTGCAGTGGCTCATGCCTATAATCCCGGCACTTTGGGAGGCAGAAGCAAGAGGATTGCCTGAGCCCAGGGATTCAAGACCAGTAGGAAACTTGGTGAGACCTTGTCTCTACAATAAATCAAAAAATTAGCTTGGCTGAGCTCGGTGGCTCAGCCTCTAATCCCAGCACTGTGGGAGGCCAGGGCAAGTGGACTGCCTGAGCCCGTGGGTTCGAGACCAGCCTGGGCAATTTGGTGAGACCTCATCTCTGTAGTAAATCAAAAAATTAACTGGGCGTGATGGCATGCACCTGTAGTTCTAGCTGCTTGGAAGACTGAGGCGGAAAGATCACCTGAGCCCAGCAGGTGGAGGCTGTGGAGGCCACGAGCATGCCACTGCACTCCAGCCTAGGTGACAGAGTGAGACTCCAATTCAAAAAATAAAAAGAAGCCTGGGCTCAGTGGCTCAGCCTGTAATCCCAGCACTTTGGGAGGCTGAGACAAGAGGATTGCCTGAGCCTGCAGGTTCGAGACCAGCCCGGGCAACTTGGTGAGACCTCATCTCTACAATAAATAAATACAATAGCCGGGTATGGTAGCATGCACCTGTAGTTCCAGCTACTTGGAAGGCTGAGATGGAAGGATCGCTGGAGCCCAGCTAGGGTGGCTGTGAATGTGCCACTGTATTCCAGAATGGACAATAGAGTGAGACTCCAACTCAAAAAAATAAATAAAATAAATAATAAAATAGAGACAGAGAGATCTATATAGTTATGTATATACATAGATATAGACAGATATATAAAGTCTAAAAGGAAATGTACCTAACAGCACTTATAAATAAGCGATAGGCTTATCAATGATCTTTTTGTCACTTAAAAAAAATACTTAATTTTTTAGGAGCAGTTTTTGGTTCACAGCAACATTGGGAGGGAGGTACACAGATATTCCTAAACCCCCTGCCCTCCACATGCACAGCCTCATGCTCCAACACAGTAGCACATTTGTTAAAACTGACGAATCCAGCCGGGCATGGTAGCTCATACCTGTAATCCCAGTGCTTTGGGAGGCTGAGGCGAAAGGATTGTCTGAACTCAGGGGTTCGAGACCAGCCTGGGCAACTTGGTGAGACCGCGTCTCTACAATAAACTAAAAAATTACCCAGGCGCGGTAGCGCATGCCTGTGGTTCCAGCTACTCGGAACGCGGAAGAATTGCCTGAGCTCAGCAGGTCGAGGCTGCAGTGGCTGTGGGTGTGTCACTGGACTCCAGCCGAGGTGACAGAGTGAGACTCTGACTCAACAAAAAAAAACCCAAAAAACTGATGAATCCACATTGACACATCATTATTATGCAAAGGCCATAGTTTACGTGAGGGTTCACTCTGGTGTTGGATATTCTATGGGTTTGGACATATGTACAATTATTTTTTTTTTATTTTTATTTTTTTGAGTTGGAGTCTCACTCTGTTGCCCAGACGGGAGTGCAGTGGCCGCTCCC